GCTGCAGGTGAGGGGTGCTCCCAGTGAGGGGTGCTCCAGGTGAGGGGTGCTGCAAGTGAGGGGTGCTCCCAGTGAGGGGCGCTCCAGGTGAGAGGTGCTCCGGGTAAAGGAGTGTTCCAGGTGAGGGGCCCTCCAGGTGAGGTAATGCCGAAGGTGAAGAATGTGGCCCTGGTGGCTGAAGTTCCTAGAGCAAGGGACCAGGTGTCGGGCAGAGCTGCGGCCAGCAGTGCGGGAGACTCAGGCTTTCTCAGGCCACAGCAAAGAGCAGACAGAGTCCTGGGAGCATGGAGGCTGTGTCTACACTGCCAAGCAATGCCCCTGCACCATGGGGAGAATGTGAGCTGCCCATCGGCCATGGTGGAGAGAGAGAAGCCAGCTAGTACAAGGCAGGGTGACAGCGGTGGGGAGGGGGCAGCGCCCACAGGTACTGGGGAGGCTACTTCCACATTCCTCTGAAACAAGGTCTTTCTTTGCTCAGATTCATCCAAGGCGGAGAGACTTCTTGGACCCCACTGAGGGCAGAACGTGCTGTCTGCCTGAAGCCCTGGCACCTGCTGAGGAGCAGAAGCGCCTGGAAGCAGGAGGTGAAGCCCTGCCCTGCTGGTCACCATCCCCGCTGGGGTCCACACGTGTGGAGGCTGAACTGGGAGGCCAGCCTCCTGGACCTGCACACCACAAGTGACTGTACGGGTCAGACAACACTGTCCCAGTCACCCCAAAGGCCTTCACGCATCCATTCTGACTGCCCACGCCAAGCTCCCTGCTTTGACCAGAGTCCGCACTAGGGCAAGACCATGATTCCTCAGCCCCTGCCACACAGGAGAGCCACCTTCACCCCAGCCTTGGCAAACTGGCTCCCGTACCCTGCACACAGCACAGGCGGCTCCCAGCTCCCAAACAGCCAGGGTCCAGCCAGCGTGGCTCCCCCCTCCAGCTGCCCCCACCTCACGCCAGCCCCACTGGGTCCTGCTTCCCCTCAAAATGCTGCAAACACCAGCTGTTTTCCTTTCTCTCACTCTCTCTCGGGGGCTTCCTTAAGGCTCTTTCCCTAATGTGAAGACCCCTGTCTGCTTTCCCACACCTGATCCCTCCACAGTCTCTGCTCCCAGGAGACCCCAGGATGGGTACTATTAGCCTCCATTCTCCACTCTGAGCCTGCTGGGAGGCCTGGCATCTCCAGTGGCCAGGACAGAGCCCTGCACACCCTCCCTCCGCACCCCACCCCGGCCCCTCTCCCAGCCTGGTCCCTACAAAGTGGCCACCACCACCTGCCTCCAAGGGGTTCCAGGCTCAAGACCTTAAAACCTAGAGCCCTGTGTGCACTCCTTCCTGGATAACTTCGCCCACCCTCTCATCCCTGGGGTTTCCCGTGAAGTGTCCCGTCCTCAGGAGCCACACCACCACCACCCTCCCGGGGTCACCATCACGTGGCCCTCTTGAACTTCCATCGCACTTGTCACCCTCTGAAATGGTCTGGTGGTTGTTTCTCGCCTCTGCAGAGTGGGGGGGACACTGGGGGGTTTCTGGGCCTGGCACCCAGCAGGTGCGCAGGAGATGTGAGCGCCATGGAGACTGCCTGGCCGTCCGCTCCGCTCCGCTAAGCAGGAAAGCCGGGAGGGTGAGGGTTGGACCGTCCTCGCCCCCGCAGGTGGCATCCAAGGGTCGGGACGCGCGGAGCTGGCCCCCCGCTCCACAAGACCGCGCACCCCCGGGGCCAGTCGCCGGCGCCAAAGAGCTCTCGAGTCCTCTTCCCCCGCAGGATTCCGGGACCCCACTGCCCCGCGCAGGCAGGGCTCTCCCCTGGCCAGCTCTCCGGCCGCGCGCCCTGCCCGCCCCGCCCCGCCGTGCGCGCGGGTTTGTTGTTGTGCGGGCGCCCGCGGCGAAGGGGTGGGGGTGCTGCCGGGCCGGCGCGTGCCCGTGGGCGCCGCGGCGGGAGCGCGCGGGGCGCGCGGCAGGGCGCGGCGGGCGGGGCGGGGCTCGGCATCCTCGGCGCCCCCGCCCGGGCTCGCCAACCGGATTGGCTCCCGGCGCCGGGAGCGCGCGAGGGCGCGGCGCGTAGAGCCGGGCTGGGGGCGCGCGCGGCGCCGCCGGCGGCCGCGGAGGAGCGCGGGGAGGAGGGCGAGGGGAGGGAGGAGGCGCCCGCCCGGCTCCCTGCAAAGCGGCCTTATTTATCTGGGCACTGCCTCAGCCTCCCCGGTGGGAGGCTCGGGGCAGCCGATCCTCTCCCACCGGGGAGCTCCTCTTGGGCGCGGCCGAGGGGGCCGGCCAGGCCGGGGCGCGGGGCGCGGCAAGGCCCTGCCGGCCAGGCCAGCACCTCGGCCGCCTCCCCGCTTCGCCAGCGCCCATGCCGGGCTCCCCATGACGAGAAGACGCCCGGCGGACAGCGTGGCATGAGCCAGGTGCCCGGGCCAAGGTAAGGTGTGTGCACCGGGCCAGGGTGCGGGGCGGGGAAGGGGCTAGGCCGCGCCATCGCGGCGGCCACAATGAGGATTGGGGAGGGGGCTTCAGAGAGGGCCGCCACTCCCCCCCCCCCACACCCCGGGTCTCACATAGGCGCAGCCCCTTCACAGGCCGAGGCCACCCGGGCCTCTGGCCCTGACATGCCCTCCCACAGATCCTGATCCTAGCGCCGTCTGGTTGAAGCATGCTCCCCAGAGCAACTGGACCAGGGCTGTGGGCCGGTGCCACCTGACCACAGCCCTGGGGAAGCAGAATTGCAGGCCCTGAGCCCACCAGGTTGGGTGAGGTCCTGGACTTCCTTTGAGCTCTGAGCTCCCCTCCCCACCCAACACCATGAGCCCCTCCGCCTGTGAGACAAGTGTTAGATACAATTACACTCCAGGAGGAGCCATGTGGATGCATGGTGGGGGGCTAGTCGGCCCTGGGCACCTGGGCCTGTGTGGAGCTGCCACAGCAGGAGAATGAGAGGGAAGGAGGAGGCTGGCCATGCGCCTGTTCTGGAGGAGGGGTCAGGCCTTGGCCAAGGTTGGAGGGCTTCAGAAGAACTGAGCACCCTGAGGCTTGCTGGGGGGGGGGTCTGGCGTCCTGGGATTTGCGGGGAAGAGAGCCCCCACCCATCACCCCAAGAGGGAAGAAGGCCTAGCTGTTGGAGCCTCAGGGAGCCCATGGCCCAGTGGCCACTCCTCTAGCCCCTCCCGGCCTCTGCACAGGAAGCCTTCCCTCCAAAGAGAGAGCAGATGGCAGATGCCGCTTCACCTGCCCACTCGGTCAGTCCCCTCCCGCTACCCGCCACCTCCCAGGCCCCTTCTTTCAGCCAACCCCTTTGAGCAGAGGCCTGGGCTGGGACTCTGGGAGGGCCAAGGCTTGATGGAGACTTGCTGGCCTGGCAGGAGGTGGCCATAGGGCTGGACCAGGTGCTGTGGGGAGGAGGGAGATCCAAACCCCCATCATAAACCTGGGCAGTGCAGGGTGGCCTGTTCAGGTCCCAGGGGACCCCAGGACTCAGCTGCGTGCTGTCTCCACTACTCGGCTCCCCTCATTCTCAGCCACCTCTTACTTGGGCCAGGCAGGCCTCTCAGCACCTATAATGCTGGGCAGGCCCACTGGACAAGTGCTCCCCTCCAGTTCATGCCCACTTCTAGAGCACTTCGGTGAGTCTTACGTCCCAGTGCAATGAGAAAACAAGTAGTCCTGAGGCTGGGGGACCTAGGCCCCTCAAGACTACTGGCCTGGGCCCAGCAACTCTGTGCTGCTGAGAGCCAGGGAGACATTCACCCCAAGGTGGGGCACTGCTCGGCTGCCTGCAGCCCCATCTTGTCACACGTGGGTGCTCACTGCTGTGTCTCAGAGGGGAAGAGTGGAGGTGGCAGTGAAGGAAGGCTTTGTGGGCTAAGTGGGTGGTTCAGCACCTTCCCCACCACTGACAAGGAGGAGCTTCAGCCAGACCAGCCACAGAGAGTGGGCTTGGGCCACACGGCCTCACTTGGCAGGGAAGAGGGGGAGGGTTTGAGGCAGCCGCCCAAAGAAGCAGGCACTAGATGCCCCCAGTATAGGCACTGGGGGAGGGGGGTGCTCAGATCCTTCAGAGTAGAAGAACCAAGATGAGGCTTGGAGCCCAAGTTCATTCCCCAAAGTGCCCAGTCCCACATGGCTGAGCTGTCCTGAGCGTGACCACAGGACTCAGTCTGATGAAGCACCGAGTCTGGTCTCTTTTGAGGCCACGTGCTCACTTCCTGGAGCCCCTGGTGCACGGGTGGGGCAGCTTGCACCCCAGAAACATCTCTGAGCTGGGGGCGGGAAGGGAGCATTCTGCTGGCTCATGTGCAAAGTGGCTGGGATGTGAATGTGCCTGAGTCACGGGGCATGGAGTTTGTCAGCCTGTGCTGTGTCCCCAGTCCCAAGCTACCCTGGTTGTCACAACTGTCCCTGGGGCTGTCACCGCAGATCAACCTGACGTGAATTTCTCTGGCTACCCACGCCCTGCCCAGCTCCACGGCCCTCAGTGGGTGGGCAGGGAGAAATGGTCAGTGCAGATCCTATTGGGGCCAGACCCCTCCAGCACTCCGGGCAGGTTGTGTCAGACAGAGCATCAAAGATGAGGGAAGAGATCTCTGAGGTGGGAGCCATGAGGGCTGGGGGTTTCCTAGGCATGAGCAGTCCAAAAAGAGCGTGTCCTGGGGGTGAGCATGCAGCTTGCAGCCTCTGGAGAGCAGGGACACGACAGACAGTGCTGGGAGAGACCAGCAGCCCAAGGTCCCGGGCTGGGAGGACACAGGGGACTGAAGAAGCAGAACAGGGCACAGAAAGGAGGGAAGTACCCCCGGCCAGCATCAGGCTGGCTGGATGCCCAGCATTGCCCTCTGCACCTCAGGGCCGGAGTCAGGCAGGGAGTCAGACAGACTAGGAGTCCTAGGATCAAATCCCAGCTCTGTGCAACTTCTGAAAATTCAGTCCCTGACTCTCCCTTTCCCCACTTGTGGTCAGGAAGTGTGTGAAGGGCTTGGACCAGCAATAGGGGAGTGGCACTGGGAAGAGCAGGGCAGGACCAGCTCCTCCCTCCCTTCTGGTGGCTCCTGTCCCCTCCTTGGATCTGGCCAGATTATGGGGGATGGGCAGCCAGCCTCCTTACCATGCAACTCCCAAAGTGGGGACTCAGCCGAAAATGAGGTGTAAGCTGTCCTCTTCCCAAGGGTCTGAATAATTGCAAGGCTCACCCCAAACGCCAGGTTCTTAGGAGCCTTTTCAGAGACTCTGGCACCAACCCAACCCCAGTGCCCACCCTCACTGTGGACACTAGCCTCTGTCACAACCAGGATTAACAAACTGAGCTACACCCCCCTACCATCCACCTGCCCTCTTCTGAATCTGGCCTGTCCTCCACCAAGCCTCCTGGGCCCCTGGCAGCCACACCCCTTTCTGCATGACCCTGCTGACTGCCATTCCTCATTCATTCATTCATTCATTCATTCAGCAAGCATTCAGAGACCATTCAGCCATGGTGCTGCCTGTCTTCAAGAAGTCCCCAGCCAAGGGAAGAGACAGATGAGTTGACGTAATGACTGAGACCCTGGAGATGCTTTTCTCAGTGCTGGGGAGTCGCACAGTGGGAGACAGGGGATGGCAGTCACACTGAGGTGTGGAGGATAAGGAGCTGACAGGGTTAAGGGGAGGCCTTCTGAGCCAGCAGGGGGACCAGCATGTGCCCAGGCAAAGAGAGAGAGGGGAGGAGGAATACTGAACAGCGGGTCTGGCTGGACTGTAGGGTCAAGGCTGGGGAGGAGCCAGAGGTGAAGCTGTAAGGTCGACATGCTAGGTCTTGGGGCCCAGTGACTTGACGGCAAAAGAGGCAGCTCCTCTCAAAGCCTCAGCATGGACATCTGCAGACTGTCAGCCTGGAAGCCACCAAGTTCTGGAATCCTCCCAGGAGACTTGAGCCCCCGCAGCCTATCCCAGGAGGACCTCCTCCAGAATTCCGCTCCACACGGAGGCACAACACACCAGGGGCTGAGGCTGAGAATAGTGCAAGTTTGGCCATCTTTTTAAAACGCCTCTTTTCCTAGCGTTAGCTCCTGGTGCTTATTTCTAAAGGAGGAGGCAGTCTGCATCAGATTGGCAGTGGCCCCTACCCCATCCTAACAAGAAACTCCGGGCAAGTCTTCTGAGCCTCACTGGGCACAGTGGGGGCAGTAGCAAGTACCAAAAGGGTTGGGGTCTCACAGCCCATCTGGCTGGGTGGATGGGGCTAGGCATAGGGGCACTTGTCCCAGCTCCCCCCAAAGACCTCTTGCCTAAATGACAGGAAGACCCATCTCTGACCACAAGCTCAGTTCTCTCCTAAGGTTCTGACCCCTGGGCTAAGCTGTGGCTGTTTCCAGTTTTGAGCCACGGAGCAAGGAATTCTCAGGCTGGGTCAGTGAGGCTGGGGTGTGCAAATGGAGCCCAGCAGGACCATGGACAAGGTCGGGGAGCAGCAGGGCTGCCTCCAGGAAGAGGCAGCTCCGATCCGGGGCACAGCAGAAGGGCTGATGGACTGGGAGGGCAGAGCCTTCTGTCCAGGGATGTGGGTGTGGGGATAAAGGGCAGCCAGGCCTCGGACACCCCCCCAGGCTGAGGCCATCCTCCGCCTGGCCCCTCCCTCCCGTGGGCTCTCTCCACCGGCTGGCTTGTTTTCACCAGCTCCACCCTGAGGCCTGAAGAGTGGGGATGGGACTGTGGGCGTGTGCAAATGTGAGCTCCGGTGGAGTGGGGGTAAAGAGCCCCGCAGATGCCCGGGGCATCCACGTGCACCCCCCCCCCAACCAACTCAGGCACTCCACGTGCACACCCCATGGCTGGGAGCATCTTTAACCTAAATCGGCACTGCTCTGGAGTTATTTCTCCCCTGGTGCCACCTCCGCCGCCTCCTCCGGATCCTAGCGGAGCGGGCGGCTTCTCGCCCCGCCCCGTCGCCTGCAGGGCCTCTGCCTGCTGAGCTGGGTTTGCCGGGGCCGGCCCCCACCCCGCCCCCACCAGCCGCTGTCCGCGGTGGAGCCCGCCCGGGCCTGGCCTCCGAGCACGCGCACAGCGGCTGCAGGGGCGCTGTCCATGGTACTGCGCTCCGGGGCCGAGCGAGCGGCGCCTGGTCTGCGGGAAGGGGCAGAGGCTGGGTGGGCGGCGCGCCCCGAGCCCTGAAATCATGGCGCCCCGCTCCGACGACACAGAAGGTATTCAGGGTGGGGCTGCCTCTCTGAACCCAGCACAGCCCACAGGAGGGAGTCCACAGGACAGCTTCTCCCCTGCTCCCTGCGGAGGGGACCAGTCGTGGGCTTCCTCCTGTCCCTTCCACGATGGTCTCCTCCTCACGTACTAGTTTTAAGAGATCTGGGGCAGCCCTCATGTCAGGCTGCCCCCGCATCCGCCACCGTGGGTAAACTGTAACTCCTTGGAGCCTCAGGTTCCCAATCTGAAAGTGGGGTTAACAGTGGATTCCCCCCCCCCCCCCCCCGTGTATGCACACATACACGTGCACGG